GAAGAGAGAAGGCAACATGTATATTTCAATCAGGCAAGGAAGGAAGAGTATTTTCTTCTTGGGTGGAGGATGCCTGTTGGCCAAGCACCCTATTCCTCTGGGTGAAAGCCAAATGTCTTAAAGTTGCAGGATTCACTGCCCATTAGACCTTACTCTCCTGATGCTGCCCAGCAGTGGTGACTGGTGCCTCTCTCTAAGTTGCCTGTAGCCTTGGCTGCTGCCTGGCTCAGGAAGCTAATAATCCAGGCTTAGTGACTAGCTCTTCCAAGAAAGTAAGGCTCAAATAGGACACAAACCAGCAGCTCATAGTTGCCTTCAGCCCAGAGATATATTTGACCCACACAGGGTTGTTTTCTATAATGTGAATTAGTTGCTGAATTTCCAGCTTCTTTTGGAAAATGGAAAGGTCAAGCAATGTAGAGCCTGAATTCTGCAGGTAGCAATTGGCTGGAGCTGAGTAGCTGCTGCCCCATTCCTTCTGGGCACAGGTCCTTCCATCTGCCACACTCCCTACCTGACCTTCTCACTTATGTACCTTTCCTGCCTGGTCCCAGTGGGCTTGGTGTTTAGGCAGTACCTAACCTAGTACTCTTTTCAGTAAGCTCGACTGCTATTGAATGATACATGGGTCAATAGTAGGTACTTTCACTGAGGATGCAGCGATTATTAAATGGCTGCTCATAACACGTTTGATAGTGGAACAATCTATCTTATGTTCTTTGGGGCCATTGATGCTTTATCTTCAATAAATAAATATGAGACTAATTGTGTATTGGGTTTATGCGGGAATAATTTAAGGGTTTGGATTATGCAGAATCATTAGATTCTTAAATCCACCCACCTGGAGGAGATGCTCATTGATAAGTAGACTTTATTGCAGGGAACCGGTATTTTTGCATCACAGATACTTTTGTTACTACTAGAGGGTCTAGTAAAGATTTATGAATGCACTCATGATTTGAATCAAGTGTGCCTTTGTCTTAAAAATAGAATTGCTGATTTTGTGGTCATCAGCTATTCTCCTTTTTGTGCGTTCTCCTTTTAGTGGAAAAGGAATTGAAAATAATGCTTTCTGTTCAAGATTTTGATTTACCACATTAGATTGGCCAGCCCTATTTAATACTCTACCTTCCTTCTTTGTCATGGTTCTGTACAAAATAATACTTAATTTGAGGGACTAGCCTATCAAGGAGATAAAGAGAAATACATCTTATTCAATATATTTCGTTTCTTCCCTGCGCTATAGCTTGCCAGGGTCCCTCAGAAGCGGAAGCAGTGAAGCTGTGATTGGGTAGGGGCTTTGGTTCCTGTAAGCAGACACATGTACAGCAACCATTTGGAGGAGCCTGGGGTAGGATATGGCTGGCCACCCCGGCAAGGATGTCCTGAGGGGTGGCCTAGCAGCCCTCCAAGTCCCTCATCAATTCGCCCCACCTGGCTCCTCCAGTCACCGCCACCTCCCACCCAGTGCTCCAGGCTCCAGCTGTGCCAGGCCCCATCCCATTGCCTAGCTTTTCTCTGCTTCCCAAGGGGAGTTCTTCTGAGCACCTTCCTCCGCTGGCACGATAAGAGGTACAGACATGCTCTTTGGAACCACTGTTTCCCCTGGTCCTATCACAGAGTGTCACTACACCCGGGAGGGGACCCCCATGCCAGTGAGCAGAGGGAGCTAACATCCCTAAGCTCAGGCTGGCTTGAACAAGCACTTGCTCCATCATACAAGCCAGTTAACACTGTTTGTGCTGCCTTTTCCGTGTCTACAAAACATGACTGACAATACTGACCTAGCTCTTAGAGCTCTTGTAAAAATGTCTCAGCACTTCCTAGAAAAGCAGTCTATTAAAATTAAAACAAAGACAATAATGATGCTTCAGAGAGAAGACTTTTTGGAAGCCAGGGTTGTGGCTATTGCTCTGAGTGATGCTTACTCTGGCAGACCCCAGAAGAGTTTCTGATTGCCCTGTCCAAGAAAACATGGGCTGCCGTGCCCGGGGGTTGAGGATGGAATGGTACATATCAGCTTCAGCTTTGATGAGTATAGGGCAGGAAGGATACCACTTACAGCTGGACTATCAAGATCACTTTGGTGAACTATGGTTTAATTAACCATGTTTTAAAAAGCAGAAGCTCAGGATTAGGGCTTGTCAATATCAGACTCGTAGCCCATGTTCCTGGGCCATGTGTTCTTTTAGCAATGCATGTTTTGTACCTATATTGAAATATCCAGGTACCTTTTAAAGCTTTTGATCCTCCTGACCATTAGCATTGCAATGGAGATTGAAGAAGTTTTTCTGTAGAGAACATATTTTATATTTCCATAGAGAATGGGTATGGAAGAAAATCAGGAGAGGCAACAGGGAGACACACAAAATGTACCTATTGGTCTTACTTGAAATTCTGTTTCTTTGGTGTGAATTAAAAAAATATAATCTGACTAAAGAAAAGCCATATTAAAACAAGACAGAAAATCCTGCTTTTCCTCAAAACAGCTTTTCCACACCCTTCCCCTCAACACAACACACACACACACACACACACACACACACACACACACACACACACACACACTTGCCTGTCCTCTTTCTTCCAGAGGCTGGGGACTGTCCTACCATCCCCATGGGCCTCAGTGCCTGCCATGTCATAGGTCTTCTAACATCAGAAGCAGCAACCAAATGGGCAGTAGTGAAATCAGAGGCACCCAGTTGGTAACTGCCCCACCCCTGGATTCCTGTTACGTCTGTATTTCCAGAACGTATTGTACCCCAGGGTACACTTAATTCACACTGTACCAGCAAGCTATATTTCTCAGAAAGAAAATTAATAGTCAAACGATAATTTCAAGAAAAATGGTATCACCAAAAATATGAAACACTCAAAGCTTTCCCTACCTCCTAATATCAAAACTCTTGACCCTCTTGAAGCTCACAGCTGCTGGGATCATAATTCTTTTTTTTTTTTATGCCACATATATAGTCCACAAGATAGCCAAACTCCTAGACCAGGATATGGCCAGCCAGGCAGCAGTGACAGCTGAGAGTTCAATAGTACCAGAGGTCATTTTTATTTATGTCTTTATCCATATGATGGATCTGTAGGCTAGGGCCAAGGGGGAAAGCAGTCGCAGTTAAATGCTTTTAGTTAACTTCAAGGCTGATTTACACTTCAATTAAACTTGGGTGGCCGTCCATGTCTCTTTGTCAAATACAAGGCCAAAGCATTGTTGTGACTAATATCTACAATATAAATGTGTTCGTTGCTGGGCTCTCTGTAGAATACTTTTCTTTCCAGGTGGTGAGGGATTTCATTCCATATGGAATTTTAGTTTCAGTTAATCAGCACATATGTGAATATATTATAAAATATATATTATTACATATCAATTTAAGAAACTACAAGATTTTTTTCCCATAAATATTTTAGAGAGACTCTTGCTAAAGTAAAAGGAAAGAATTTAAAAACAAAACAACAAAACAGGACATGATTTGATGTCCTGGGGCACATTCTTGTTTGGAAACCTGACAGACAGCATTGAAGCGAAGCAATGAAATAGAATAATTCTTATTTAATAATAAAATATCTAAATCCAATAATGAAGTTATAATATAACCATCTGAAGAATTTGAATGTTAGCTATTTGCAATGACTATTCAAAAATACGGTGATAGTATTTACATATGAAATCATATCTCATTATTTGTATTTGTCTATTAGTATATGAGACAAGGCATTCTATTTTTCCCTGTTAATTTTGAATTCCTGGGAATTTTTAAAAACCAAAGAACAATCTTATCTGAAGCTCTGAGTTTCTATTTAGTATAAATATTTAATGCAAATAAATTTATTTTTTATCAATTCCATATACATCTGTATGTTCCAGTAAAATAAAGGATACTCATATATACTTCATGGGAGAAACTATTTACATGTATATACTAAAACTGTTTTATATAAACTGCAAGAATAGCAACTTAAAGAAAAATAGACACATGTATGAATTCTAACGTAAAGAGATGAAAAATTATACTTGTAAAAATGAAGCTTTGGTTGAGAATTGGATCCCTGTGTGTAGGAATATTAGCTGACCTTGACCATAAAGAATTTTTACTGGTTATTTCCTAAAAAAAGACTCTTGGCTGTTTAATAAATAAACATTTTGTTTATTCATTGCACAAACTTTGGTGGAAGCATTGCACAAAGAATAAATATTTTTGTTAGACTGTGTTAAAAGCTTGGCTTTTACTTGACATTTAGTGGACTGGGTCACACAAGGCAAACTCCCTGTCCTTTGCAAAGGCATCAAGTTGGAAATGAACCCAGAGATCAAACTCCAGGGACCACGGTTTGCATTTGATAGTTTAGTTCTATCTGTGCTTTTGGATTTATTAAGAATGTTTGAACTGAACTGCTTTATTTGAATGTTACCCCCTTTTCTCTTTAATATGGAACATTTAAACATTCTCTGAATTTGAAACTGCTTGGTGTTATTATATCTTAGGAACAAAATTACTTTTGATGGGAACATATCTTTGAATTATAAATACAAGTTAATAAATAACTAATTTATTATGCATTTGAAAATGTTTGTATTTACAAACAACTTGTCTCATACAAAGAAATTACCTCATTAGACTTCCTTGATCACCTTAGCAAACATTACTGAAGGATAATGTGAACACATAATAAAGCGATATGAAGCCAAAACTAACAAAGGAGATTAGGTTCTAAACACACTGCACGCCCAGATACATGCTGTCACAGTTTTACAGAAAATACTGTTCATTTGAGTTGTCATTCTTTACAGTGGCCACATAGCAGAAGTACTTAAGTATAAAATTTTTCAGCATGAAGGGTGGGAATTGTGCAAAATTATAATTGCATTAAAATTATGAAAAGTTGAAAAATTTCCTATCTTCAAATGTCTATTTTCACAGAGTAGAACTGAAACTCGTATTGTCCCTCCCAGAAGGCTGTCTAAATCACACCTATCTTTTCTTTAACAGATAATTCTGAAATAATCAGCAGAAACGGAATGGAATGCCAAGAATCCGCATTGAGAATAACTAAACATTGTTACTGTACATACTATCCTGTTTCCTCCTCAATAGAATTGCCACAAACTGCATGCTAAATAAAGATTTAGTTCTTCTGGACAGACCACAACTCTAAGAAGCTAGTGCTGCTATATCATATATGAGTATTAAATATGGTATGCTTAGTATATTCCAACCTAAGATAGTTAACTACCTGAGACCAGCTGTGATGTTTAAAGACATAAAGGATAAAGTTTACTTTTAAAGGGTTTCTAAACATAGTTTCTGTCCTAGGAATATTGTCTTATCTCCATAACTATAGCTGATGCGGAAAGTCCAACCAAATTACTCATTTCGACTCAGAATTCTATCTCAAAGTTAGCAATAAACAATTAGCATTAGTTTCAACACCTATTCCAAGGGCAGGTTCAATTCTAACTCCAATCGCTGTCATATCATTTACCCACTGGATCAAAAGGTATGTTTCACTTCTTGAGACCATGAATGCTGCAGCAAAGACGAGAAGTGAAGTAAAACTGACACCTGTCCTGCAGGTCTAAAATTTGAATGGACATTCAAGCACAAGTACTGGGGACACATCAAAGTGTGGGATTTGGTTTGCCTGGAGATGCCGCGTTAAATCATGTGATTCTAGACTAACATTAACTAGATTGAAAAAGAAACTTTGCACGGTATGAGCTTCATACCCCACCAAACAAAGTCTTGAAGGTATTATTTTACAAGTATATTTTTAAAGTTGTTTTATAAGAGAGACTTTGTAGAAGTGCCTAGATTTTGCCAGACTTCATCCAGCTTGACAAGAACGAGAGGCCCATGCCAACCGTCTAATCTAAGGGATTAGTCCTTCAAACTCACCATCCGTTTGCCTGTTGCAGAATAACTCTTCTAAACTAAAAACCTAGTCAAACAAGGGAGCTGTAGGTGAGGAGATCTGTATAATATTCTAATTTAAGTAAGTCTGAGGTTAGTCACTGAAAAGTTGACTGTGACTTTAATCTAAATTACTATGTAAACAAAAAAGTAGATAGTTTCACTTTTTAAAAATCCATTACTGTTTGCATTTCAAAAGTTGGATTAAAGGGTTGTAACTGACTACAGCATGGAAAAAAATAGTTCTTTTAATTCTTTCACCTTAAAGCATATTTTATGTCTCAAAAGTATAAAAAACTTTAATACAAGTACATACATATTATATATACACATACATATATATACTATATATGGATGAAACATATTTTAATGTTGTTTACTTTTTTAAATACTTGGTTGATCTTCAAGGTAATAGCGATACAATTAAATTTTGTTCAGAAAGTTTGTTTGAAAGTTTATTTTGAGCACTATCGTACCAAATATTTCATATTTCACATTTTATATGTTGCACATAGCCTATACAGTACCTACATAGTTTTTAAATTATTGTTTAAAAAACAAAACAGCTGTTTTAAATAAATATTATGTGTAATTGTTTAAAACATCCATTTTCTTTGTGAACATATTAGTGATTGAAGTATTTTGACTTTTGAGATTGAATGTAAAATATTTTAAATTTCGGCATCACCGCCTGTTCTGAAAACTGTATGCACCAACCATATCATTTTTGTTTGAGAAAAAAGAAATCCACCATTTTAATTAATGTTGGTCAAAGTCTAATGCCCATTTATCTTATATCCTAGATTTGATAACCCTGTCAAAAGAAAATCACATTCTAAGTGTAATCTTACATAGTGCTTGTATCGTTGCATTTGTTTTATTTTGTGGAAAAGTATTGTATCTAACTTGTATTTTTTTTAGTAGTTTCATCTTTATGTATTATTGATATTTGTAATTTTCTCAACTATAACAATGTAGTTATGCTACAACTTGCCTAAAACATTCAAACTTATTTCCTTTTTTCTTTTTTTCTTTGTTAATTCACTTACACTCATTGAAAACATAGTATACATTACTAAAAGGTAAATTATGGGAATCACTGAAATATTTTTGTAGACTAATTGTTGTAACATTGTCTTTTTTTTCTTTTGTTTCATGATTTTGATGTTAAAACTTATTAGCACACAACTGTTTTCAGCCCTTTAATAATGGAGTATCAAAAACGTCACCTGGATCCCCAAGCAAATATAGAGGACTGTATTTTTACTATGATATCCATTTTCCAGAATTGTGATTATAATATGCAAAGAGTCATAAATATGCCATTTACGATAAGGAGGAGGCAAGGCAAATGCATAGATGTACAAATATATGTACAACAGATTTTGCTTTTTATTTATTTATAATGTAATTTTATAGAATAATTCTGGGATTTGAGAGGATCTAAAACTATTTTTCTGTATAAATATTATTTGCCAAAAGTTTGTTTATATTCAGAAGTCTTGACTATGATGAATAAATCTTAAATGCTTTGTTTAATTACAAAAACAAAACACCAATATCCAAGACATGAAGATAGCAGTTCAACAAATACTGTAGTTAAGAGACGAACTCGCCACTTGTATGGGAACTACATTTCACTCTTGGTTTTCAGTATATAATAGCACTTCACTGATATATTCATTCAGCCATACCACTGGTAACATTTCTACTAAATCTTTCTGTAACACTTAAAGAATTCCCTCATTCATTACTTTCCAGTGTAAACAGGAGTCTAATTTGTATCAATTCTATGTTTTGGTTGTAATATTCAGTTCACTCACCCAATGTACAACCAATGAAATAAAAGAAGCATTTAAAAGGATTTCTAGGGTTCCTTCTTTTGTGTCCAGACAGATTGATAATTAGCCAAACAAAAGGGTTTTTACATTCACAAAGATAACATTTGGTAACTTCAAAGAAGCAGCAGCTCTGGTCTTCAAGTGGGAGATTGACAGTTTTTGCTTTTGCTTTTGGCTTTTTAACAGTATGGAAAACAATTTAAAAAGGATCATTTTAGAAGTATTTTTAGTATTCTTTGAAATTAGATGTAAAAATAAATCCTACTACTCAGCCCTCTTCTTCAGGATTTTGCCTGAATATGAAGAGGTGTGAACATCAATAACAAAAGGGGAACAAAATATAAGTTTAATTAACAGGCAAGAAAGTGTCCATTAATCCATAAGACAGGCTTGTGGGAAGGGCCTGATTGGACACACATCTTAGTCCTGAGGCTGCAGAAAGAGCCAGAATGGTGAGTCCTGTTCTGTGCAGATATTGTGGACCAAGGAGAGAGAGAAAGCTGAGCATCGTACCTGAGGGCAGGTGTTCAACAAAGAGAGTCTCCCTAGAGGCGGTGTGCACCTTCTCAGACTTCTCCTTCCTCAGCCCTTTGGGGACCATGGTGTTTCTCAAGGAAGGTGGTATTAACTTTTGGGTGGGGGTGTGTTCCTTGTCATGCAAGAGATGGCAGAAACTGCCTCCTCTGTGGGCCAAGGCAGGACTGGGGAAGAGAAGAGGATTTCTCTGTGGCAGGTTTAAAGCTTCCAGCCTTCCAAGTGGCTATGATAGCCCTTACGAGGGTAGGAAACACAAACATTCAATATGTTGCACTTGTACTTTTAAACTATGCCATCAGGATTTCCAAGGTTAAAAATACTTTCACACCTTCTGTATGTTTGAAAAGCTGGCTATATGTTTGAATGAGCAATTTTTTTTTTACTGTAATACAGTAAAGCCTGTCCTATCATTTGCTCCTTATAAGAAAACATTCTCTGTTAATAAGTTCAAGGTGTCAATTTTAAAGGACAAATTGTTATTTTAAGTGAAAAATCTAAGATAAATTGTACTTAAAATTTTTCACACCTGATTTTATGAAGTGTAATTTTCATCAATAGATTGACTTTTTATGGTACTACATCAAAAACCAAAAGTGAAACTTAAACCTGAAAAGATACAACTTGTTTATCTCTTTTGTCCTAGAAAATATTTAAGTATAAAATATCAATTATCATATAATTATCTTCCAATAGAAAAGTGTTATTTCCATTTGGGGAGAGCCCAAGATAAAAATAATATTTCAAACCCAGAAATACACTATTTTTAAGATTAACCAAAGTTCTTTCACAACACTTGAAAGGCTTCAGAAGCAGCCAGGCAAACCAAAATACAGTTCAACATTCTGATATTTTGGGGGAGGGGGTGTGAAATGCTAGCTAAAGAATGATTTCTTCCCCCAAAATATCCTACTGTCTCTGAACTATTAGACTATCACTGCTGTAGGACTAGCCTAGCTCTACAGAAAAGATTGAGTCATGAGGAAGAAGTATGATTTATACAACATGAAACATATTGATGACTTCTCTACCTGCTCTCAGTGGGGGTGGCGGGTGGCAGGAAGGGAGATGGGGTGAACTTGAAAATGATCACCAGGCATCTCCTTATGTACCAAGCTGTATGCCAAAGAGTCTGCATAGGTTTCTAACAAGCCTATCCTGTGCTGTTGAAGAGAATTACTAATAACTGATACGTAAACTCGAACTGTTACAGGTTTTCTTACTCAAGGTACATAAGAGATTCTGCTGTGAGAAGGAGCTTGAAGCTCAATTGTAGATCAGCACTACCTTTCAGTGCCTGCCCTCGGGATGGCCAGATCCACAGCGCAACGGAAAACCTCCAGGTGGTTTAAGTTGAGTGACCAAAAGTCATGTGGCCTCACTTTCTCCCTTTGGTTCAGCGACTCTGAAAAATGACGGGCAGCCCATTTGAGGTGTCCCTTTAGCCCCCCCCAATGTAAATGTCATATGTGCTACTTAGCATGTATTTTAATCATACCATTTCAGATATCCTATCCAAATTTGGTGAACACCACATTGCTATTTTCATGACATAGGCTATAACCAGAAAGTAACTTGGTTTTGTTCACATACATTTTACATAATCCTTAGCATTATGAAAGAGCTATTATACCAAGAATGTAGAGGAGAAATCAAGACTCATAAAAATGAAGTAACTCTTTCAAGATCACTAGAGCAGCATAACTCTCAAGCCCCGGCTTGTCCTAACCCTGCGGTCATGCGGGCATGAGCTTTATTTGCGGCACCCTTCAGGTCAAAATTTCATTAAAGAGTTCAGAGTAAAGCATTCATCTGGGCTTAAGGTAAAGCTATAATAATAAGTCTTTACTAGGTTATATGAACAGGTTTTCTTCCCTATCACAAGAATATGATTTATGAAACATTTTGAAGCTATTGGTTACAAAGCACTACTCTAGATTTAAGACAGAGCCTAATTCTTTATTAGGACCAGAGGCAACTGGAAAGAATTTTACATTTCACCATCTCTCCAGTGTTTCCAGTTTTGGTGTTTTTTAATCAAGCTTCCATATGGTTCTCTTGAAATAAATAATGAGAGCCATTGAATTTTTCCTAATAAGGATATGTCATTAAGTCATGATGAAGCAGCCCCTGAAAAGATGTAAAAACCACATATAGCCAGGGAGAATGAATTTCTGGATAAAGGTCACACATGGATCACATGCCCCCAAAATCCAATTACGTACAGAGTATCTGAGAAGTTAGGTTTGTTGTTGTTCCTTTATCTGATAATTGTACTATGGGTCTTTCTAGGACTGTGGCTTATATGAACAAAGGAAGAAGTTGATCAATCCTCATGAGTACACTAAAAAATCTAAATTAGGAGAGTCTGACTTTTCTTTTACTAGAGAACCCTTCCTTCAAACAAAAGGTCACCCCCACAAAAGTACATAAGCAGAACAGTAGGAAAGTACTCTGGCTACATAGGGGTGCTTTCCACTCCTGAGGTGCAGCCTCTAATAAGCTCTGCAGCACAGAGGTGGAAATGCACTCGGTGAAACATAAAACCTGTGGCTTTACAGAGGACGAAAAGTATATTCAAAGTAGCATAACAGCTTAGGAAAATCTGGCTCATAAGCTCCAAATTGGTCTCAGCAAATTGGATATATACAAAAGTAACAAATATACTACAAAATAAATGTATATTTAACACTCACATATATCTGGGAATGCCAAAAAAAATGTATACACATGACTTGTATTCATCTTTTGTTATCAGTATCTGAGTATATGGAGTATTACAATTGTAATACAGACTTTTCCTTTCGTAAAATGTGTATACATTTTTTTGGCACCCTCTGTATGTTGACCACATATAACAGAGCCTGACACGGAGCAAGCTGCCAGTGAATATCAGCTACTGTTCTTAAAATAATAATAAAGTAAGCTCTTATTTTTCCCTATCAGTATTTATTCCTCGTTCTACCCAAACATCTCTTGGCAACTAAGAGGCACTTCTTCTATTTCCTCGATGACAATTAATGTCAAAAGCTGACAGGAAAATTATAGGGAATTTATAATAACAAATAATGAGCCACATTATTTCTCTGGAAGCCTGCAATTACTTTAATTCAACAAATGCTCAGTGAGTCCTGGCTAAGCACTGTTAAGCTGTTCAGAGGCCGTGAACATGAGCAAACTCCAATCCCTACCCTCAGGAAGCTTTCCGTGTGGCCAAAGAGGAACAATGAACCTCTGAAAAATGAAGAAGGGTGAAGATTGCTGAGGTAGTTTCCTAGGGCTGCTGTAACAAAGCAGCACAGACTTCCATTTATACTACAAAGTGACAATAAAAACATAAAAAATAAAAAAAACATGAAATTCACAGAAAAACAGATAAACAGATTAACGGACTAGAATTGAGAACCCAGAAATAAACCCACATACATATGGACAGATAATTTTTGACAAAGGAGCCAAAAATATACAATAGAGAAAAGAAAGCCTCTTCAATAAAGGTACTGGGAAAATTAGAAAACAATGTGCAAAAGAATGAAACTAGACTGCTATCTGTCACCATATATCACAATTAACTCAAAATGGACTGGGAGGAGATCCAAGATGGTGGAGTAGATAAACACTGTGCCTGCTTTCTTCCATAAATGCATTAAAATTACAATTAAATTATAGAACAATCAATCTGGAGAACTAGCTGATGTCTGGCTGAACAGAAGTTTTATAACAAATGAAATGAAGAAGAAGCCACATCAAGACTGGTAAGAGGGACAGAGATGCAAAACAGGCTAGCCTCAAACCTCCGTGTGGCGGTTGAGAACAGGAAGGGATATTTTGGCCACGGAGGCTCCCCCAAAGGAGCGAGAGATCCCAGCCCAGCATCCCCAGCCCAGAGTACAGGAAAAGGAGCCACCACAACACCTGGCTGTGAAAAGCAGTGGGGATTCCCACCATCCAGGTGGGACAGAAGGCTACAGGAAACCCAGGCATCCTCTTAAACCACCCACGCATAGACTCTGTCGCTCACAGGCACTCACCTTGGGCTCCAGAGGAGAGAGAGTAACTCATGGGGTGTCAGAGGCATATGGGGAGAGACTGAGGTGTGTGGCTTTGAAGTGAGGGCTGGAGGACAGTTGCCATTTTCCCTGTGTGGGGTCCTTCTCCTGTGCAGCTGAATAGGCAGCTGCCTTCTTTAATGTGTTGAGCCCGCCTCCTACAATATGGCAAAACCTGAATCTGATTGGCCTGGTGAGCTCCACTGCTCCACTTTGCTGACTCACTGGGAACCCACCCCACTTAACTCGTACATCACAGGAGGCACTTTCTCTGTGAGCAGCCAGCCCTGCCCACATTGCACTTTCTTGAAAAACTATCAGAGTCCGAGGGTCGAGGCAGGCAACAGCTGACCTCAATGTGCTCTGAGACTTTTGCTTATTAGCTCCAGGCTCAGCACTGGCACCAGACCAGAATGTACATTAACCTGTTGACCACAACT